ACACATCCTGAGGGATCTCGCCCTCCTCCTACTCCTCTTCCTACTCCTCCTCTTCCTCCTCCTCCTCCTCCTCCTCCTCCTCCTCCTCCTCCTCCTCCCCCTCCTCCTCATCCTCATCCTCCTCCTCCTTTATGCTGCATGTGCCGAGCCGGATCGATCCGTGCAGGCCCTGGAGGCGCCCGGCTCGACACCAGGAATGCGGCGCCGAGATCTCGGGCTTCGGGCAGACGGAACTCGGATGCTCATTTCGGGTCGGGCGAAAGGGGGGGATAGCAAAGGGGGGGGGGTGAGAATCAGCTCACGCAGCTGATTTTCCCGGCGCCTCCCGGCGCCGGAGGCGGCTATGTATCGAGGAACGGGCCCCTCGGCGAGGCCGAAACCAGCTGCATGCAGCAAATTTTGTACCCCCTCCTTTCCCAATCCCCCCCTTTCGCCCGGCCCGATCATTCTGAGGGCCTTCCTGGAGCCACTCGCTCCACTCGTGCGTCGAAGCTTCGTCGAACGCCCGTCGATTCGAGTTGTCCTTGCGCCGGACCTGAGTCGAACCTGCGTCGAACTTGCGTCTAACCTGACGAACTGGGGTCGAACTGGAGTCGAACAGATCCGTCAGGTGGGCCAACCAGGAGGATTAATGAGGGGGAATCGAGGAGGAGGAGTGAGGAGGAGGACGAGGGGCAGGAGGAGAAGGGGCAGGAGGAGAAGGGGCAGGAGGAGAAGGGGAAGGAAGAGGATGAGGAGGAGGGGGTGGACATGCGACGCCAAGATCTCAGGGTTCCGGCGGACTGACCCGCTCCATCCCGGCGACGGTGCTTCAGCCTGGCCACTTTAGGAGCCCTTTCGTGCTCGAGGCACATCAAACCCGTGCGGGAAGGGGCCGGCGCGCCGCTGGGACCGCGGATCCTTCAGATCCGACGGCGCGAACAGACTTGTTCCGTCGGCGGCGAGGCAGAGGCAGTCCGCTCCAGCGTGTAGCTAATCGGGGCAACCAAAAGGCTGGCGTGCAGGAGAAAGGAAAAAGACGAGGGCGGCCGCGCGGGGGAAGGGGAGGAAAGAGCGGTCAGAAGCGGAAGAGTTCCGCGTCGAGCGGGCCTGAGCGGTGCTAACAAACACGCAACATCGCAACGCTTCGTCCTGCTTTGTCCCGCTGGCCCCTGGTATCCTCGCGTCGCAATGTTTCGGAATCGGGCGGTTGCGCAACTTCGGGCCAGGGAATCCTCACGGATCAATCCGGCTCGAAAGATGTGGCAGAAAGATGGGGTCTGGGGCTCTGGTCGTGTTTTTGTTCACGATGCTGTATTTCTTGCCCGCCGTCGGATGTCAGGACTCTCGCCTGCATGTTCGTCGTCGTCTGCTTGGTGTTCCGTCTACCTGGCTGGGCAGCACCGGATGCGAGGCAGCTGGTACTTACAGTCAACCAGTATCATAAGAATTCGCGATAAGGATGCAAGGGCCTTGGACGCCCATTTCGAAGCTTCTCGAGCGAGGCACGGCCAACGAAAGTGGCCAAGTGTGGACCGAGGAGGCAAAGATGCAAAGGTACCCTTAGGAAGGTTGCCCATCCTTGCCATGCGGCTTGACTGCACCCGGCCAGGCAGCACGGGCTGCGAGGCAGTTGGTGCTTGTCCAGCACGTCGCAACCTCGTAGCACATCACGACGGGGAGCCCCGGACCCCAACCTCCTGCGGCACGCCCCGAGCTGGATCGGTGCCCGCGAGGGCCCATGCAGGGGCCCCTTGGCAGGGCGGGAGCGCCCGGGACCTCTCCCGGGCGGCGTGTCGGCCGGGGCGTCGAGGCGGCTCTGGCCGCGGGCGGCAGCGACGGAGGGTCAGCGGCATCGGTAGGCTTTCGTCCGCGGAGCAAGCGCGTCGCCCAGACCTCAGGATCCAGGGCCCGCGGGTTGACAAAATCAACCCACGCGAAGTGACTGGACCTGCCTGGAGGACGACGACGACGACGACGACGACGAGGACGACGACGACGACGACGACGACGACGACGAGGACGAGGACGACGACGACGACGACGACGACGACGACGAGGACGAGGACGAGGACGAGGACGAGGACGACTACGACCACGACGACGACGACGACGACGACGACGACGACGACGACGACGACGACGACGACGACGACGACGACACCGATGCCGGGCGGCCTGCCACTGGGCTTCTTGGGCCCCCTCTTCGGCGGCATGGCCAGGCGTGCGCGGGGGCGGAAGGGAAGGAGGAGGAGGCGGAGGAGGAGGAGGCGGAAGAGGAGGAGGCAGAAGAGGAGGAGGAGGAGGAGGAGGAGGAGGAGGAGGAGGAGGAGGAGGAGGAGGAGGAGGAGGGGAGGAAGAGAGGGAGGAGAGAGGAGGAGGAGAGGAGGAGGAGGAGGAGGAGGAGGAGGAGGAGGAGGAGGAGGAGGGAGGAGGAGGAGGAGGGAGAGCGGGGGCGAGCGGGGCAAACCAGGCGACAACGTTCAAAAGTCTGTCTCCCGCCCGCCCCCGGCGAACATCGTGGTTGCCCGCGACCCTCGGACGAGCGCGGACGAAGTGACGATCGGGCTGCAACCCGCTTTTTTCATGTGGAAAGGGGCCCGGTGGCGCAGGTGACGGGGGGGGGGCGAGGAAGGAGGAGGGGAGGAAAATGATGATGAGGAGGAGAGGAGGAGAACTTTCTGTCACCGCTGTGGGGGGCGGCATCCCACAGTGGGCCAGCGACAAGCCACACCCCGAAAGAAGAGGCAAGCAAAAGCAGCGAACGCGACCAAACGACGGGAAAACATCAGCGAGAACCGGTTGCATTTGAACCGCATCTTATTCCTCACCCGCAGCTGGAAACGCTGGCGTAGAGGAGGAGGAGGAGGAGGAGGAGGAGGAGGAGGAGGAGGAGGAGGAGGACGAGGAGGACGAGGAGGACGAGGAGGAGGAGGACGAGGAGGACGAGGAGGAGGAGGAGGAGGAGAAAGAGGAGGAGGCGGAAGAGGAAGCAAGGCCGCGCTCGCGGCAGGACCGCCGGCGCCAACGCTCTAATCGCGTCGGCGGGGTGCGGGAGACACTGAGCTCACTGCGCATCTGCGAGATGAACGTCTGGAGCTCCTCTGGGGAGACTGCCGCCGACGCGTCCGGGGGATCCTCCCCGCCAGCGGCTGGCCCAGAGGCCGCCGAAACAGCGGCCTGTGGCGTCTCTGATTCCAGCTCCGCCCCCGTTGGGTTTCTTCCTGCTCTTCTTCCCCTGCGTCAGCTTCCGGTTGGAGGCGGCCTCGCGTTGAAGCTCGCCAGGGAGGCCACCTCTGAGGGCAGGGGCCGCGCCCGCACCGGCGTCATCGTGAGACTCAGCATGCGCGTCTTCAGGCTGAGAAGGCTCCGCGGCTGCACCCTCGCAGCGGCCCCCGACCTGCTTCGCCTCCAGAGCTGGGGTCTCGGCCGCGATGGTCTGGGCAGCGCGCCCAGTGACCAGGCACTTCCTGGGCCGAGGCGGTGCCGTAGTTCGAACACCAACGGACTCATGTGGGGAGCCTCGGCAACAGCAGCCACCGCATACTGGGAGAAGGCACCTGGAGGGATCGAGTCTGCCGTGGGCGAGCTGGCATCGACCCCGTCGCCAATGTAGGACTCCTGGGTTGCTGTGCCGCACGTGTCGATGTCCCCCGCGATGGTGTCCGGGAAGGCTTGGGCATCGGGAGGCACGTCAATGCCACTCGAAACATCGCAAGCTCGCCCGAGGTACTGCGCGCAGCGTGATGCTGCCCGACTGGAACCATCCAATTCCTTGAGCACACTGTCGCGACAGTCGTGAGTGAAGGCAACCGTGATGTGACGAATATGGAAGTAAGCGCCGTCGAGCCTGATCAGCTTGTTCCTCATGCTGTTGGAGATCCGCCATTGACGATGAAGTTCGCGCGCAGCTTGAACGATCCCCTCAAAACGTACCGTCGCGCAAACGCCGAAGGTGCGCATCGGCGTCCCGTGAAGTTCGCTGACAAGCTGGTGTGGCGCCAAACCCGGGGCAGCCAGGGGCGCGAATGACTGGGCCGACATGCTTGGACGTGAAAGCAAATTGCAGTGCCGCTTTGAGCCAAAAACGGAGGAGGAGAGTAAGGAGGAGGAGGAGGCGAGGAGGGGAGGAGGAGGAAAAGGAGGAGGAATACGACGACGAGGAGCAGGAGGAGGTCTTTGCTCCAAGGGAGGAGGGAGGGGCGCATCCGAAGCGCGCCAGGGACCCCTTTAGGGGATGTGAACCAGCCGCGGAGGAGGTCAACACAAAGCAAGTACATGCCCGCAGCGGGCAAGTGAAAACCGATGACAGCAACCGCACCCGCGAAGGACGACATGGCAGGCCGCAGCTACAATCGAATCGAGGACATGATGACATCCATGAAAAAAACGAGACCCTCCGCCGGCCCAAACAGACAAAACATCCACGGGTACCCTCCCCAGGATGCACAAGAACATCCAACAATCACGAAGAAACTTAGGGTACCCTCGCCGAGCCGACCTCGATCTCATACCCCAGTCCGACTGTTTCCACCAGCTGCTGCATCCCAGGGCGAATCCGAGAAGCCCCCGCAACCACGCGACCAGGACCAGGAGCTGCAGGCCCGCTCGAAAACCCAGGCGTAGCCCCACCAACATCAGGAGGACTGCCACCGTCTTGGTGGAACATTTTCCGCCCCATACTCTTACGATCACCGTTGATACGCTCATGGGCACCACTATCGGAAATCTTATGGCGGTCCATGGTCTTGAACATCGTGGTCCCCTTCCGCTTCTGAGCCGTCCCAGCAGCAGGCCCGACAATATCATGGGTGCCTCCCTCACCAACGTCACTGTTATGGGCACCATCTAACACAAGTGGCCTATCCAGTCCAATAATGTTCGTCATCACGGTGGGCTTTCCAGCACCAGCTTGCCCAGGATCACGAACCCAAGGGGAATTCGAGCGTCGATATCCAACGAAAAGGGGCACCACCTGACACTTCGCCATGGAGATCCACGCCACCAAATAGCACAAACCTCTACACGGCCAGGAAATACGCCACCCGGCAGATCCGCAGCATCAGGTAGACCTTCAAGGACCCCTTCACCAACACGATCTGCACCTCCAGGTAAACTCCCGCAAACATCCACCCCACAATGAGAGAGCTCACCAGGAGGATCCGCACCACCATGTACCACTCCATGGAGCAATCCGCCAAGACCGGCTTCGCTAGGAAGGTCCGCGCTCCTGGGGAGAACTCATGAGAACTCCACGAACACCCCCTCCACCAGGTAACGCCACCTCGGGACAATCCGCTCCTCCAGGTCGCATTCCACCAAATCACCCACAGTACCCGCATCGCCACGCAGCCCTTCCAGGGGATGCTTCACCAAGAAGAACAAGATCATCACTGGCAATCTGCTCACCGCTACTTTGGCTCACGATGCCATCTTGCCATTTACGGAGAAACTCCCCAGAGGTAGTGGCATCGGCCTCCCGCGAGTGCCATGCGCCGAGCACCGACCACCAGCACGAGGAAGTGCCTCAGGAGCACCGCCAGCACCAGGAGCACCAGCTCCAGGGAAGGCCTCCCCATGATGAGACACAAGCTCCTGAAGAGAAGGACATCGACGCCACCAGCAGGCGGCCTCTCGAGCACGGGTGCTCCACGGTTCCAGGATGACGCAAGAGCATGGGGAACGCCCAGCAGGCTAGTTAAAAAGCATCGTGGGCCTGAGCAGCAGGATCAGGGGGTGGGTCGCCACCACGTCCACATCGTCGTGGCCGCTTAGTCATGGATGGACAGAACCTCCTTTACCAAAGCGTGGTTTCGTGAAAACGACCTCGGGCCCCGAACCTGGCGGGCGAACGCCCCGAAAAAGACGGCTACGGCGCCCTCTCGAGAACCGAAAACGGACAGTTCGCGAAGCGACGTGTCAGGGGGGGCTCTGTCCACCCCCGAGAAATAGGGGGCAAACAAACCTACCTCGCTTTTGACCACCCTCGCTTCCAAGAGATACCAAGCGATGCCAAACTACAGCATGTCCTGGTCAGGCCGCTTGACGAGGAGGCGTATGGTATGACTTGGTTTTGCCTGGAAGCGAAAGCGGGGTAGGTAACTCACGCTCTGAAGAAAGTTGTGCCCAGGAGACGCAGCGCGTCAGCAAGGCCTCCACCCCCAGGGCCGGGTAGCACCTGGTCCACGCCATGGGTCAGGCTCGTCAGGCTCAACGCGTGGACGATGCCTGTGCCCAACTTAGCCCCAAGCCTGTGCCCATGCCCACGTCGACGATGCGCATGTCAATGCCTATGCCGGCATCGTCGTCACCATCCTCATCAGGACCAGGCAGCTGGGGTCCAGGCCGCTAAGATACCCACAAGGCCACGTCAAGCCGTCCGTCCGAATGGCGGTGACCGCGATGCCCGGCCGGGCAGGTGCCAACCAATCGGAAAAGGGCACAGCGATCCGACCAAGGGCTGCGAGCTGAGCGACTTAGTGACGCTCGCATGCTCGTGTCGATGGTCAGCTTCGCCTTGCACGGCTGCCGTGCTCGTGCCGTGCTCGTGCCCGTGCTCGTGCCCGTGCCCGTGCTCGTTCGTGTGTCGGTGATCGTGCTCGTGGCGCGTCCCCGCAGGGCCGCGCGGCCAGCAGCGAAGAGTGAACGCTGGTGCCCCGCAGCCCCTGGCGCCGAGTCCAATGCCGGGAGCGAGGCGACGACCCATGGCCCGCGCGGGTAGGGGGAGCACAGGGAGAGAGGGAACACGAGGAGAGGGGAGCGGCGCGAGGAGAGAGGGAAAACGCGAGGAGAGCAGGAAAGCAAGGAGAGAGGGAACACGAGGAGAGAGAGGGAGCGGCGCGAGGAGAGAGGGAAACCGCGAGGAGAGCAGGAAAGCAAGGAGAGAGGGAACACGAGGAGAGGGGGAGCGGCGCGAGGAGAGAGGGACAAAAACGAGGAGAGAGGGAAAGCAAGGAGAGAGGGAGCACGAGGAGAGGGGGAGCGGCGCGAGGAGAGGGAACAAAGCGAGGGGAGAGGGCAAGCAAGGGGAGGGGGGAGCACGAGGAGAGAGGAGAGAGGGACGGCGCGAGCAGGGAGAGGTAGAGGCAGCGAGGGGGGTCGGAGGGGGGAGGACAGGGAGAGAGGGAGAGGGCGCGGGCGCGCCCCCGAGAGCCACGGGGGCGGGCAGGCGCCCGAGGCAGCCTGGCCAGGAGGAGGGGGAGGATTCGAGGAGGAGGAGGAGGAGGAGGAGGAGGAGGAGGATAGGTTTGGGTACGAGGAGGAGGAGGATGAGGAGGAAGATGAGGAGGAGGAGGAGGAGGAGGAGGAGGAGGAGGAGCAGGAGGATAGGCCTGGGTAGGAGGAGGAGGAGGAGGAGGAGGAGGAGGAGGAAGAAGAGGAGGGAGGAAGAAGAGGAAGAGGAGGATGCAAGGAGGACGGGGAAGCTGAGAACTCCTGCGCTCCTCCTGCTCCCTTCCCCCCTCCTCCTCTCCGCGAGGAGGAGGCGGACCCCAGGCTCCCAGGGTACGACAACAAACACGATCGTAGATGATCACGAGCAATGCCCAAAATCCCATCTTCCTGGCGCTACTCGAGCCGGATCGATCCGCGAGGGCTTCAATTCAAGGACCCGAAGGCGGGCGATAACTCCCGATGTGAAGCAAATTGCGGGCGTCGGCGGTGGAAAGACGGCGGGAGGACGGGGAGGTGGAGGAGGAGGAGGAGGAGGAGGAGGAGGAGGAGGAGGAGGCGCACGAGAAGAAGAACGGATTGGAGGGACATGGAAGGGACTGGGAGGAAAGAGGACGGGGAGGGAGAGGAAAGAGGAGGAGGAAAAGGAAAAGTCGGATGAGGCGGAGGAGGGAGGGTGGAGGAGGAAGCGACCGTCGAACGACGAGGTGGAGGAGGCGGGGGTGGAGGAGGGGAGGGAGGACGAGGAGGAGCTCAGGCTGAGGACGAGGCGGGAGGAGGGAGGCGGGCGGCTGGCCGGCGGCAGTGGCGCCGGCCGAGCCGAGTGCGCGCGCGCCGAGCCTCGCGAAAGAGCGCGTCCGCGCGCGTGCACGCGACGGGCGCCCGGGCCCGCCAGCCCGTCCGCCGCCGGCGTCATCGTCGTTGTCGTCGTCGTCGTCGTCGTCGTCGTCGTCGTCGTCGTCGTCGTCGCTGTCGTTGTCATTGCCGTCGTCCTCGCCGTCGTCCTCGACGCTGTTGCCCTCGCCGTCGGCGCCGCCGCCGCTCCCAGGGTCGCGTGTGCTGCTGCCCTGTGGAGGCATTTCGTCAGCCTCGGCATCCAGGAAGCCGAGCTGCTTCTGGGGCCACTGCGCAGTCGGGGACGACAGCGTTGCTCGAGGGCCCCGTGGGCTGCAACGTCGAGCGTCACGTCTGGCTCTTCGCCAGGGGCCCAGACTTGCCCCTGCTCAAGGGCCCTGAGGTTGCATGACCAGGGCTGCCCGCCATTGCCACCAGCCACTGTCATACGACCTGCGTCGCACGTGGACGTGGGCCCACATGGCCGATTCCGGAAACCCTGAAACCAAAAATCACCTCTTGGGAAGTAGACTTCTGCTTCCCTGGGCTTCCGCCTCCCTTCCGCCAGCTTCCGCCGGCGGAGGCGGCTCGGTTTTACTTCCGCCGGTCTTCTGCCGCCCTTCCGCCGAGGAAGAGATGACGCCTCCTTCTGTCCTCGAAGGCGAGGCTCTTTTTGGGGGAACGCCTCAAACATCCTGAAAGCCCGCACGTCCATGCGAACAGCGCCCTTGACTACCTACCAAACCACCCCAACCCAACCCGAAGACCCGAATTTGACCCGAATTTCGGGTGGGGGGGGGTACGGATTCCGTGTGTTTTTTCAATGTTCCCCGACCCCCCCTCACTGGAAATCGAGGATAAATCTGGGCCTTCGGGTTGGGTTGGGGTGGTTTGGTGGGTGGTGAGCCCTCGGGACAACGGCGTTGAGCTCGTCAAGGCGCTGGAGGTCTGGGTGCCTCGGTGCAGCCTCGGCGCTCTTCGGCCAGAACTGCTGGCCTCCCCTCACCCTCCTCGCTCTGCCTCTGCACCCCCCTCCTGCGCTCTGCGCCCCCCCTCGCCTATCCGTTCCTCCTCTCCCTCCCGTCCTTCCTTCCCCTCCCTCTCCCCCATCCATCCCTCTCCCCCCATCCATCCCTCCCTCCCTCCCGTTCCTCCTCTCCTCCCTCTGCCCCCGATCCTCCTCCTCCTCCTCCTCCTCCTCCTCCTCTTCCTCCTCCTCCTCCTCGTGGTCATCCTGGTCATCATCATCATCATCATCATCATCATCATCATCAGCATCATCATCATCATCAGCAGCATCATCATCATCATCATCATCACCACCACCACCACCATCATCATCATCATCATCATCATCATCATCATCGTCATCATCATCATCATCATCATCATCATCATCAGCATCATCATCATCATCGTCATCATCATAATCATCATCAGCATCATAATATTCATCATCAGCATCATCGTCACCATCATCATCAGCATCAGCATCAACATCAGCATCAACATCATCATCAGCATCATCATCAGCATCATCATCCTCAGCATCATCAACATTATCAGCATCATCATCAGCATCAGCATCAGCATCAGCATCATCATCATCAGCATCATCATCATAATCATGATCAACATCAGCATCAGCATCATCATCATCATCATCATCACCATCATCATCAGCTTCATCATCAACATCATCATCATAATTATCATCATCCACATCGTCATCATCATATCTTGTTTTCTCCCTCCCTCTCCCTCCCTCCTCTCATTCCCTTTCCCCTATCCCTCCTTCCTCTCCCTCTCTACGTCTTCCCCTCCCCTCCGCAATTACACCTCTCTCTCTCTCTCTCTCTCTCCCCGCGGGCTCCTGGGAAGCCCAACGGAATGGTTAGTCACGCGCGTCCCTGTGAAGCCTCGCGGCTCCATGGGGGGCTGCGAAGTGCGCAGTTTCTCCGAGACCTCGCGGCTCCGTGGGGGAAAAACACACCTGCCGCCACCTCCGTCAGCTCCGGGAGGTCTAGCGGAGTGGGTCGTCACGCGGATCCCTGCCGCACCTCGCGGCCCCCTGGAAGCCTGCGAACTGCGCGACCGTCGCGGCTCCCGTGGGCTCATGGTTCCTGCGGAGTGGGCAGTCGCGCGGGTCCCTGCGAGACCTCGCGGCACCCTGTGGGGCTGGAAACTGCGCAACTGTCGCCACCTCCGTGGGCCCCGGGAGGTCCAGCGGAGAGGGTCGTCCGGCAAATCCCTGCGAGACCTCGCGGCTCCCTGGGGGGGGGCGCGAACTGTCGAATCTGAAATGGAGACGATCCATCGCATACGAAGGGGGACGCGCCCGCATGGCGCGTGGCGCCGTCCCGTCAATCAGTGCGCGCCGATGCAGAGCGCAGAGCTCTGCAGGGCGTCACGCAGCGCCATGCGTTATTGGCCCACTTCCCCCCCTCACCTTCTTTCGCAGAGCCCGAGTCGGAATCCTTGCTGGGACGGCAATGTGCCTACTATGCATTGAACTGGCTGTGCCGCCTCTTCCAAAGCGAGTGCCTTGACAATCGAAAATCTGGCACTTCCAGAAGAGACTGCGCCGCCCACGATAACAAGAATGGTCGGCGGCAGACTCCCGTGCGCGCTAATCGCCTCAACAATCCAAAGTGCCGATGCGCAAGAATTTCGCCAGCTCTCTTCGCCTATGCGGAAGTAGAGTCTGGCCTCTTCCGCCGCCAGTGTCGCAGAGCAGAGTTTTGTACCACGAGTTGCCCTCGTCCATGGTACAGTTCGCAAGGTCATCGGCGATGTTGCCCCAAACGCGCTTATGCCAAAGAATGGCGTCCTCGACATCAGTGGCCAGCCTCCGCCCATGTGCTCGAGTATGCCGAAAATCATGCGTGGGATGCGGTCGAACAACAACATAGTGAGCGCAAGTGTCTCCAATGCCGTGGTGCCGCTAGCTACAGCAGTCGATGGGAAACATATGTTGGACACGCTCTCCCAATGTATGGTAGGCGGGTCTTCGTCATGCTCCTACGGTGGGCTCTCGAGCGGGTGCTCCGCGAGCCGTGGTCTCTTCCTGGCGATCGGCTGTGGCGAGCTGCCCCAACCATCATCAATGTCTATGCCTGCTGGTGGAAAAACCATCCCCAGTGGAAACAGACCGTCCACTCCGATGGTGCCTGGCACCTGTCCCTGCGTTCCCTCCCATCCTGTCCCCCATGTCGTAACGAACACTTCTTCCCATTCGTGTCGCTATCCGTAGCCGGATTGGACTATCGGAGGCCTGGAAATGGGCACCACTTCCAGCTCATGGGGTTCCCTCCACAAGGGGGAAGATGATCCTAGATGTCGGTGTTGGTGGTAATATTTCGGCCATCTTGGAAGCCAGAACTATTACCACCATCACCGAGATCGGGATCTTCTTCCCTCGGTGGAGGCACACCGCCGATATTCGTGTTGGTGTTAACCTCTAGGCCTGCGAGCCTAGCCTTTCCATGCGTCGTCGCCTTTCGGCGAACTCCATGCGCAACCACAACCCACCACTCGCGCGCGAACGGTACCTCCGAGCGGCCTTCACAATAAACTGGCCCCGCCGAGCGCAGGCGGCATCTCTCCTCCCTCCACGCAAAATTCTGAAGACGCTCTGCCAATGCGGCTGTAGCACGCATGATGCGCACGTTGCATGAGGGTGCATGGGTCGCCGTTGCTGATCTCCCAACTTGCGTTACGAGCCACACCGGAGGGAGGCAGGGATGCAAGTTAGGTGCTCTCACGTTGAATGGAGTCTATGGGATAGCCCTGGACATCATAGCCAGGCAGCTCAGAGAGAAAGGGATCACGCTCTGTCTCCCCTCCCCCTCCAATCCCTTCTGGGCTCCTCCTTCTTCTGACCCTCCTACAGAGTCTGTCCTGGATGCGGCATTCATTGATGATGAAGCTCTTGCCATCACTGCCACGTCTCCGCAGCAGCTAGATCAGAACATCGCTGTTTTGATGGAAGAGTTCTTTTCTACATTTGAGAACTTGCATTTGCAGTTGAACGACTCTCCTGGGAAGGCCGAGGCTCTTCTTAAGTACCGAGGCCCGAAAGCTACCGCCCGGCGCGAAGCTCGCCGAGACGCTAGCGGCCAGTTGAGCGTGAAAGTCCCAGGCAAAGATATCCACATCCGTGTGAAAAGATCATATAAGCATCTCGGCACGGCCACTTCCCTCCGCGCCGGTGCCATGTGTGGTGCTACCGCAGAGGCTGCCAAGACCCGCACTGCGTACGCCCCTTTTAAAGGGGCCCTGGGACACACAAATAAATACACACAAATAAAAGGATTCCCCATATTTTCCGATATTTTCTTGGTTTTTGTCTTCCCCCCCACTTCCCATATTTTCCCATATGTTCTGAGGAATCGCCGATTATTGGTGTCTGTGTGTTTCTTTCCCTCCTGACCTTTGTCGTACAAAGTGTTTGGCTCTGCGCGCGTCGATCGCGCGCACAACCTGTACTCTCTGAAGTGTTTGCTGATGTCTAAAGCTCTTGTTTGGCATTCACGTGCTTGTGCCTTCTGCGAGCCCTTTGAAACGCCTCAGCGCTGTGTACCCGACTGCGCTTCGACGTCTCTTTGGCGAGCCTCGATTCCAGCACTCCGAGCACACAGATCGCGAAGTTCGCGAGGCACTGCACCACCCTGCTCTGGAATGTTTGGTCGCCCGTCTCTGGCTGAAGTACTGCGCCCGTTTGCAGCGCACTCCTCCTGCCGCTTTGCTCGCCCTGCACGGGGCGAGGCCTGGAGGGCACAAGCTCAGGTGGGTCCAAGCATTAGAACAGGGACGCCGGGCTCCTTCGGCCCCACCTCCCTGACGGTGTCCCTGCTTTGTCTGAAGACCCTGAGGCCCGGGCGCTTCTTATGCATGACGAGGGTTCTTGGAAGGCGCTCGTGGACCGCATCTTCTTTTGCGATTCGGTTTTGGACACCCGAAATGGGTACCGAAAGAAACAGCGGCCGCTGTTGGGCGGGCGGCCTCCTGTCTCGAACGGACACAAGCCGCGGCGGCGTGGACAGCGAATCCTGTTCAGAACGAACAGGAACTGCTGTTGGACATCGTCCCCATTCTTTCCGTGCCCATCTCGGGCGTCCAGATCGGTGTGCGATGCGACTGCCGCCCCTCATTCGACACCCGGTCGCGAACCTCACGTCTGTCACCGCGGAGCTGCCTTTTCTACTTCCAGGGGCTTGCAGAGCCACCAGCGTGCGCTCAGCACGGCACGCGCCTGCCGATGCGTCGTTCTCCTCCTCCTCCTCCTGCTCCTCCTCCTCCTCCTCCTCCTCCTCCTCCTCCTGCTCCTCCTCCTCCTCCTCCTCCTCCTCCTCCTCCTCTTCCTGACTCGAAGTGTCCTGCATGCGGCACCGATTTCGCGCAGCGGTTGCGATGGATCGCGCACGTGTCCGCTTCGCGCCGCCCGGAGTGCCGCGATTGGATTCTCCTGCGCTGGCATCGTTTGCCGGACTCCGAGGTCGCAAGGCTGGATGTGGTAGGTCGCGAACAGCGCAGGTCTGCCCAGCGAGCCAGTCATGGCCCCCATTTGGCTGTGGCTCCCGCGCGCTCAGTTGACGGAAAGGTCGTTGGGCGAGTGCGCGCCTGAATTCATGAAGTCAGCGACGTGAGTTAATCTTGAGACTGCCATTCCTCGCCGAAACAAGTGACGGGTGGGAGGCGTAGGATGTCGGGTATGGCGGGAGCGCCAGCCAGATGGTCTTCGTCTCCCGTCTCCATCCATCCTCTTCCACTCTGCTTCCCTCCCTGCCTCCTCTCCCTGTCTCTCCTTCGCCCAGAGCCGCGGGAACGTGCCGCCTCGACTTCATCGATGGGCCGAGGTGTGGACAAGCCTTCCCCAGGAGGAGGAGGAGGAGGGGGAGGAGGAGGAGGAGGAGGAGGAGGAGGAGGAGGAGGAGGAGGAGGAGGAGGAGGAGGATGGGGGAGGAGGAGGAGGAGGAGGAGGAGGAGGAGGAGGAGGAGGAGGAGGAGGAGGAGGAGGAGGAGGGAGGAGGGGGAGGAAGGAGGGGGAGGAGGGGAGGAGGAGGAGGAGGAGGGGGAGGAGGAGGAGGAGGAGGAGGAGGAGGAGGAGGAGGAGGAGGAGGAGGAGGAGGAGGAGGAGGAGGAGGAGGAGGAGGAGGAGGAGGAGGAGGAGGAGGAGGAGGAGGAGGAGGAGGAGGAGGAGGAGGAGGAGGAGGAGGAGGAGGAGGAGGAGGAGGAGGAGGAGGAGGATAGGGGGAGGAGGGGGGAGGAGGGAGGAGGCCCTCCTCCCCGTGGCGGTGCACGCGAGGGGGTGGGACCAGCAGGGGCATACCGGCGGGAGGGAGGAACCAGCGTCAGCAGCACGCAGCGCGGGGGAAGGATGCGGGTGGAGGAGGGGGGCAACGCGCGGGCGCGGGGAACGTGAAGGAGAGGCCGGCTCAGGGAGGGGGGGGGGCAGCGCCAACCAGGAGTCGGCGATGCATCGTTGGCGGTCGGCCCCGGATCGTAAATCCGCACAGTGGGCTATTGGGCCCCTGTCGGCGGAGAAAGGGCGATCGGGGTCGAGGCGTTCCCCCCTGAGCCTATTCTTAAGTCGGGCCTGTCCCCCTACAGGGGGATTTCGGACGAAAAATTAAACATACCCCTAAGAATACTCCGGACATTCTAACAGATAGTCAGAAATGGTCCCCTGACGATGTTTTGACTATTTTTGAGTATTCCCCCTGTAGAGGGACAGGCCCGACTTAAGCCTATCACCCCCTAACCCTGCCCCTGAGGGAGCAACGCCAGGGAGCGCTGCGCGCGCATGCCGCAGGCAACTCCTCCTCCCCCGGTGCGCTCCTTATGATCGCGAAGAGCTCCTGTATGTTGTTCTTCTTTATCGCCTCTGGGTCCGGCTCCCACGACGACGACGACGACGACGACGACGACGACGACGACGACGACGACGACGACGACGACGACTACGACGAGGAAGAGGAGAAGGCCGAGGACGAGGAGGACGAGGAGGACGAGGAGGACGAGGAGGACGAGGAGGACGAGGAGGACGAGGCCGAGGGCAAAGCCGAGGACGAGGGGGAGGAGGAGGCGGACGAGGCGGACGGGGACAGAGCCCTCAAAATCGCCTCCTCGGAGCCCTCGTGGGGGCCCCTCCCGCCGCCGAGGGCCCGCCAGTGGCCCGCCCTCCCCTCCCGGCCTCCGCCCAAGGTGCGCTCCTCCTCCTCCCCCTGCTGCCTGTCCTCCCGGTCCTCCTCCTCCTCCTCCTCCTCCTCCTCCTCCTCCTCCTCCTCCTGCTGCCCACGTTCTTCTCCTCCTCCTCCTCCTCCTCCTCCTCCTCCTCCTCCTCCTCCTCCTCCCTCCTCCTCCTCCTCCTCTCCTCCCCCCCCCCCCCCCCCCCCCCTCCCCCCCCCCCCCCCCCCCCCCACCCCCCTACCTCTCCTCCTCCTCCTCCCCCTCCCCCTCCCCCTCCCCCTCCCCCTCCCCCTCCTCCTCCTTCTCCTCCTCCTCCTCGTCCCTCCGTCCCTCCGTCCCTCCTTGCCCCCCCTGCGGCGTTGCCGCCCCCCCGTACTCCCTCCCATCGACCTCCCTCCCTCCCTCCTCCCTCCCGCCTCGTACTCCCATCGCCCTGCCCCCAGCCTCCTCCTCCCCTTCCTCGCCCCCCTGGCTCCAGATCGTCCAGAAGAGCCTCGAGAGCGGTGCCAGAAACGGGCCCCAAGGATGATCTTGAGGGCCCTGGTGCCCACGTCGTACATCCAATCACGACGTCGGAGGCTTGGGCCAGCGGGGAGTACAGGGATCTGATTGCAAAATCTTGTGGATTCCCTGATCAATGAATGGCTTGAACAAAACGGCCAGATGATTGTGGCATCAATTATATTTCCCCGATGGCCGCACGGGCCGACACAAAGCTGAGGCAGACGATCAACGCAAGACCAATGTGTGTCACTACGAACCCGAACACATGCGTCCTCATGCTATGGTGAGCTCCAGTAGATGAAGTTCAATTCCAACCCCGACGAACACACGCGTGAAATCAATCCTATACCAACAAGATCCTCCCCACGGACTCCCCCCCCCGCATATGAAGATACGTGTGCCAATAGTCCAGCTTCTCCGGACCTGAACAACACGCTCGCAGAACAGTATAACGATTGCGGTGTGGGATAAGTGGAAACAGCAAGACGGGGGATAAACATGAGGAAAAGATGGACCCCCCGACCCCCCTTCCCCCGAACTTCGTACAAGTTCTCAGATCGAACACCTTGCCCGCACGGTGGTGGAGCGTTAGAATGCTGAGCAGTCTTCTGCTGAGGCTCTCTTTTGTTTCTTCGGATGGGACTGGCCCAGGCGCCTCCGGGCGACCCCGGGACCTGTCCTGGGGTGCGTTCTGGCTGGCGTCTCGAGGCCAATCCAAACGTGGCGACGAGGGCGACCCAGGAGGCCCAGCACGCACCCGGAGAAAAACAAACCAATCGCAACGCCCGTCGCGACGCCCGTCGCACGGGTGGCCTGTCGGCACGCGGCCACGACCCGCGTCTTGGCGCCGCCGCGGCGCAGGTTGGACGCCCTCTGTATCATCATGTTGACCTGGCGTGCGCGGGAACGGGACGCGTTGACCACGCGACACGCTGCGTCGCCAGGCAGGCTTGGCGGACAAGAGGTGCTGACAAATCTCGGACTTGCGCGGTCTTGGCATGTCCCCAGGGACGGTCGGATCACCACTCTCGGGGACGCACTGATCTGGGTCGATGCAAGCCCGGGCCAGTCATGCTCTGCAGGATCCTGCAAGAGAGGAGGAGGAGGAGGGAGGAGGAGGAGGAGGAGGAGGAGGAGGAGGAGGAGGATCCTGCAGGATCCCGCGCCCAAACTCAAGTCAACGCACCCCTGGCTCTGCAGGACCCGGAACGCTCCGGCGCTCTGTCTGACCCCCGGTTGCATCGACCCCCGTTTTCTTGAGCACTGACGCTCGGAATGAAATGTGCAATCCCTGCCCCGGGCAGGGATCGCGACCCCGGGGGGTCCACGCTGCGAGCAAAAAATCACGACGCTCGGGGTCCGAGTGCTCAGACCGAGGCTCGGTGAGGACGGGGCGGAGGGCACGGAGACTCGGCATGCTTCCGGCGCTCCTGGGGCCTCCCAGGCAGCCCCCGTCGCCTCCAGATCTCACCTTTTGGGTCTCTTGCCAGAGCGCACGCCAGGACGCGCCAGGGGGCCAGCGAGGAGAATGGGGCCCAGGATTCGGTCGGGCGTGTCCTCCTACAGGCGGAAATTGGAAGAAAAAACAAAAATCAAATAATGGTCAAACAACCTCAAAAAACACTGAAAAACGTCACCATACGAGTTGTTTCACTACTATTGAATCTTCCTCTTGTAGAGGGACATGCCCGATTTCAGCCCAGGACCGCTGGGCGTCGCGAGAAAACCGCGACAGGCGCCCTCTCTCACAGTTTGGCCCTCCCGGGAACCTTCTCTGGGCCCCGAGGCCCTCCACAGAACGGGCCGCGGCGAACACCACACCGCCAGGGCTGTGGTCGAGTGCTCCGGGGCCCGCGCCGCGAAACAAATACAGTAGGAGCTCGAACACAAGAAACCTTACACAAGAAACCCAACGCTGCGACCCCGGGACGTCCATTAGTTTTCTGGTGTAGGAACGTCACGCTTTCCAGTGCAAGACCATCGAATCGGGCGTTGGCAAAACTGAGTTTAGTGGGACCTGGTTTAGTGATGTGTACTGGGGGACGCCCCCCCGACACGTTCCACTAAAACCCGAACTGCGGCCACCCGAAAAAAGCACGAGCTACAGCAGACCTGGTTTTCAGTGATTCTGGTCATTCTAGGGGCTCTGGGACCCTACCACTAATCGGGTCCCCTTACCTGGGGTCCAGGCAATACCCGATCGAAGCCCAAGAAACCCTGGGCACCCTGGAGGCAAGCAAAATGTTTCTTGGCATGGGTTTCCACTAAACAGCGCCGGTGGTCCCGGGAACACGCGATGGCCAGAACATCGGCACGCGCGGACACGCGGATGTTGACCCGTGAGCAGAAAGCTGCCCTTCTGTGACACCGCGATGGGTCTGGCGCACACACACACACACACGCACTTAGAGGGCCTTGGAAACGACAGGGCCGTTTTTTTACTGGTTCCGTTTTGCCGTGTTTTACCGGTTCCGACGCCGTTTTTTTACCGGTTCCATCGCCGTAGTTTTACCGGTTCTGGCTCTGGTTCCAATCCTGGAGCTGTTTTTTTGCCGTTTCCGGTCGCCGTATTTTTGATGCTTCCCTTTTCAAAAGACACTTTTTCGGAAACAAGAAAAAACGGCTCAACCGCTGTTCGGGACCCACTAAGCACAGGCATGCGGTGACCCGGCGCACACAAGAAACTGTTGGACCGAGCGGGCGCAGAGGCTGGTAAGCGATGCATCTAACTTCACAACTCTCTGACTGCCAGGGCCACTGCTGAAAGATCAATCAGATCAAACGGCGCCTGGACGGAGCACTCGCGATGCCATAAAAAGCACAGACTCCAACATAAGTCCAACGCCCCGTCAGACAAGCAAAGCAAACCACACATCACATGAACAAGCCCGAACACATCGCGAGAAAACAACACCTGTAAGTGGATACCTACAGACACGGAAGCTTTCGGACCATATCCCGACGAGTACCACGAACACGCACGCACACACGCACACACACAACACAACACAACATAAGACCATGCATGTGAAAGTGAGCGCGACTTATCATTACAGCACACTGTATACACATGTATGTATGCCACTGTAACTACTCGTCTGAAAGATCCGCCGACCCCCGATTGCCGGGGGTGAGAAGGCGTGTGAGATAATTGGCTGTCCCCCTCCCCCTTGCCCTCTCCCCTGGAGCCCAGAATCGCATTACAGGAGGGAGGGACGGGGCGCGCAGGAGGTGCCGCTGGAGGGGGGGGGGGCATGAGCTCGGAGGGCCCTGAGACGGCCACAGGGGCCCCCAAGACGTCCCAGGAGGGCCAGGAGACGAGCCCAAGGGAGGAAATGTGACCTGCTATCTCGAGTATTTCCCGGCGCGATGGCCCCGAGAGCCCCCCACCCCAGTGACTCCCGAGGTGCCCCCAGGGCACCCACGAGGCCCCCGACAGGCATCAAAAAGGCACCCAAGAGCCCCCCCAAAGCAAATCGGACACCCCCACGAGCTCCCTCAGAGGCCCCTGAAAAGGCATTGCAGGAGACCCTCCCGACAGCGCCTGACCCACAGACCAGGCACGGTGGCACGACTCTTGACGAATTCACTGTTGTGGGGGTCGGCGGATTGGCGTATGCCTCTTGGATAAAAAGGTCGGCGATGCCTTGGCGCAGCCAGAGTGGACCCGGACGATGCGTTGTTTGCTTTGTGGGAGTGGGGGCTGTGCGTTTCAAACGATGTGGATAAGAAAAACTACGTCGTGTAAGCTATGTGGTGTGAACCAAAAGCTACGTGGTGCAAACTATGCGGTGTAAACGATGTAGTGTAAACAATGCGGTGTGGCAGTGGCGTGAAAACTATGTGGTGCAAGCTCTGTGTTGTAAACTATCTTGTGCAAGCTGCACGGTGTATACTGTGTGGTGTAAACTATGTGGTTTTGGGCTGTGGTGTAAGCTATGTGCTGGCAACTCTGTCGTCTCAAAACGCAGCGCGGGGCCCCCACGAGGCGCCCACGAGGCGGCACGGGCGGCAACGTGGTGCAACCTCTGCGTGCCCCCGCCCCCGCCCCCCCCCCCCCCTCCCCCCCCCCCTTCCGGCCCCCCCTCCCCCCCTCCCCCCCCCCCCCCCCCCCCCCCCCCCCCCCCCCCCCCCACCCCAGCCCGTCCTCCAGAAACGAGACGGATCCCAACCGATTTATCCAAATTCAAACCGTTCGGGATGAATTGCAACCCGACGTGGTCACAACCCCAAACACTTCAGACACCTGACGAGATCTTTCAAGATCTTACGATATCTTACAATATTATCAGAAATCTTAAGATCTTGTGGGGTCTTCAAATCTTAGGAGATCTTCAACTATCTTACGATATCCTGCAATATATGCAAAGATCATGCGACATGTTCATCCACGATCTTATGATATCTTCAGAGCCTCAGGAATCCTCAGGAATCCGGAAAGATCCTGAGAGACCCTCAACAGATCGGGGGAATCCTGGGGGACCTTCAGGAAGCCCCAGGAATCCGGAGGGATCCTGAAAGACCTTCAGGAACCCGCAGGAATTCTATCAATCCTGAGGCCTTCAAGAATCCTCAAGATTTCGGGGGGGTCCTGAGAGACCCTCAGGAATTCTCCGGAATTTTGGGGAGCCCTCAGACTACATGAGGAATCCTCAGAAATGCAGGGGGATCCTGGGAAACTTTTGAATCATGAGACCTCAGGAACCCTGAGGAATCTTGGGAGATCCTCACGAATTCCAAATCTGGTCGAATCCTGAAAGATCCTCAGGAATCCTGACCTCAGGAATGCGGGTGAATCCTAAGAGATCCTCAGGGATCCTGACCTCTGGAATCCTAGGAGAGATCTTTCAGGACCCTGAGAGATATATTCGGGAATCCTAAGGAAACCTGGGAGATCCTCCAGCATCCCGAGAGATGATCAGGAAACCCCCGGAACCTTCAGGAATCCTTGGAATTTCTAGAGCTTTCTAGGAAGCCAAAGGCATCTTTAATAATCCCTAGAAGATCCTTGGTGAAGGAGCCTGGGGGGGGTGGTCGTGAGGGCCCCGGGGTCCCTGAAAGATTCAGAGGGATCCTGAGAGTCCCTGAGGGCTCGGACAAGTCCCAATCCTTAGGTCGTCGGCGGCCTTGAGATTGGAATTCGTATTCGGTTGTTCTAGGAAGGTCTGCTATGATATTCAAATAAAGAGGCCGCCAAACCGAACCCAAACCCACACCGCCCACTCCATAAGTTGGGTGTGTTCCTACGACGACGACTACTACTACTACTACTACTACCACCACTACTACTACTACTACTGCTACTACTACTACTACTACTACTACTACTACTACTACTACTACTACGACTACGACTACGACTACTACTACTACTACTACTACTACGACTACTACGACTACTACGATTACTACGACTACTACGGCTGAGATTACAAGTACGACTGCTACTACTACTACTACTACTACTGCTAGTATTACTACAGCAGCAACTACTACTACTACTACGACTACTACCACTACCCTGATACTACTACCACTACCACTATCACTACTACGACGACGGCTACTACTACTACTACTACTACTACTACTGCTACTACTACTACTACGAGTACAAGTACAAGTACTAATACTACTACTACTACTACTACTACTACTACCACTACTACGACTACTACTACCACTACTACGACTACTACTACTACTTCTACTACTACTATTACTACTACAAATATTACTACTTACTACTACTACTACGACTACGACTACGACTACTACTACTACTACTACTACTACTACTACTTCTACCACTAATACGACTACTACTACTACTACTATTACTACTACTACTAGAACTACTACTACTACTACTACTACTACTATTACTACTA